GGAGGAGGGTGAAGCATGCGTGCTGAGCGAGCAAGGTGCTGCTCGGTGCCAAGGTGTTGGTAGCGGTGGGGCCTCCTCTGACCCGATGCCATATAAGACAATTGAGGAGTGTCGTTCTCCTGGAAGCACTCCTGCTTCTCTATATAGGAGTGTGTCCATCAAGCCTAAACTCACTCCTGGCAACCCTGCTTCTGCTTCTACTGTGGTTAAAGACGTAGATGAATCTTGCAGATAATGCATGCATACAGGGCGATGCAAAGGCGAGGGGGAGTAGGAAGGGGGGAGGTGGAGAGAGGGGGAAGGGGGAGCGGACAGGGGGGTGGGGAGGGGTCGAACGAGTGTGCCAGGATTCACCACATGGTAACCAGCTTGTACTGCTGCTACGAGCGTGGTGAGGGGGAGACACGCATGCCACTAACGGGGCGATTGTAGCGGACAAGAACTGCGAGAAGATCCACTACATGGCGCCCAACATCTACTGCTGCGGCGCTGGTACCGCTGCTGACACCGCGTTCGTCACAGGTGAGCTTGCCTCTGCTTTGTGTGTGGGTGGGTCTGATTGGAAGAACGGGGTTGTCAAGGGGGTGGAGGAGGGGTGAAGGAGGTGGGTTGGAGAAGGGGAGGGTGGGAGAGGTGGAGATGTTGTATGGGGGAGGGGGGAGAGGGGAAAGGGGGGGTTTTGTATAGGTGTTGATCACTGCGCCAAGATTCACTACATGGCGCCCAACAGCTACTGTTGCAGCGCTGGTACTGCCGTTGACACCGCGTTCCTCACTGGTGAGATCAGACTGTTGTGGCTCTGCGCCTGCGGCTATGGCTCTGGCTATGGGAGGGGGTGGGTGCGGCTGCGGCTGCATCATTTCTGTCACACGTCTTCCCCAGAGATGGTGAGCGCGCAGTTGGCGCTGTACCGGCAGGCCACAGGCAGGCAATCAAGGGTCGTCAGTGCGCTCACCATCCTCAAGCAGCACCTCCTCAAGTGAGTGACCTCGTCTCCTCAATCACAGCCAGTCTCACCTTTGTCCGCCCTTCTTCCCCCCTTCGTCCCCCCTTCTTCCACGCTTCCTTTGCCCTTCTTCTCACCTGTACACCCTCCAAACCCTCCTTCTCTCGCCTCCCTCCCACCCCTCCCCGCCCAGCTACCAGGGCAGCATGGAAGTGACGGGCCCTCAGCTGTGCACCATCTATCCTTCCCTTCTTCCTCCCTTTGCTCCTCCCTCTTTTTTTACCCAACGTATGTTGTCTTTTCCTCTTTCCCCACATCCCATTCCCCCAGCTTCTACCAGGGGCACATCTCAGCAGCACTGGTGCGTTACTTACCCTCGTGACAGGCCCGCAGCTGTACACCATCTATCCGCATGGCAGCACGGACCGCCTGCCCTTTGGTCCATGGGGTCGGGATCGCTGGCTGCCATGGCCATCCTCGAGTCCCAGTACAAGGAGGGCATGACGGTGAGTCTTACAACGAGAATGAATGGGCCTTGGCGTTCAGTCATTGCACAAGGATGACATTACGAAGAGTCTTGTGCCGAGGATGGATGGGACCAAACATGTAGCTAAACGATACTGTTCTATTGTAGTTATTATTATCATTATTACTACTGCTGTTATGTTTCCTTCATCATTGTGCACTATCTATCCTCATGACTGCATGGCCCTGATGGTCTACCCATAAGATTCATGGGTTGGAGGTTAGACGACACATTGTATGGTTTCTTATGGCATGTTTGCTTGTTATTCTGATTGCCCGTTGCGTGCTCGCCTGGCATTCTCTCTCCTGCTGATCTTTTCATCCTCCTCCCTTTTCTCTGTCCACCTCCCCCCTCACCGACCTCCTCCCCTCCTCTCCGCCCGCGCGCCCCTGCGAAAAGAGCAGTAGGAGGAGGGAGTAGCACTGGTGTCTGCGGCCATCTGGGCGGGTATTTTTAACGACCTGGGCAGTGGCAGCAACGTGGATATCAACATCATTACCAAGGTACCTGCTCCTCATATACGAGTTGATTCCCACCTGCTCCAGACAAGTGTCCCTCTTGAGCCTTCTCAGAAGATTTTCGAATGCCCCTGAAAGGTATGGATGGCGACTTTGTTATGCCGCCTTGAGCACTGCCCAAACTTTGAGGTGCCTCAAAACTAGACTCCTCACATGCGGCTTTTGTGTCGATGGCGACTTTGTTTAGCCGCCTTAAGTACTGCGCAAACCCGATTCTTGTTTACAAGCATTCTTGTAGAATATGCTGTAGAAATTTATGGCAGTATCTTAAGGGGGAGGGAACCCAAAAAAAAAAAAAAAAAAAAAAAAAACAGAAACCGAAGAATTCATCATGAATGTTACGTTGTTCCCCAGTATTTCCGCCTGCCTGTTTCTCTTGCAGGAGTGAGTTGGTCCCCTTCCCGCAAAAACAGAAATACAGTTCTTCTCTTTTTTGGCCTACTTGTTTTCCTTGCAAGAGGGAGTGGATGTCCGAAGAAACTTTGAGAAGCCCACACCGCGCACTTATAGGGCTGCAGGCTACAAGTTCCCCCCAGGGACCACGGGTAAGTGGAAATGGAACTAGTAAGTTGATATGCGTATTTGAGGCGCCTAAAAAAACACGCTGCGAACGTACAGGGCTGGCGGTTACAGTTTCGCCACAGTGACCACGAGTAAGTTGAGATGTAACCAATGAGTTGAAGCAACAACTAGTAAGTCGAAACCTGGTCTGTTTCAGCTTACTTTTTTCGGTGGAACAAGCCACAGGAAAAAGGATCCACGATATTACACGCTTGCTACAGGTTTCCCAGGCACGCCTTGAGTAAGGTCCGTGAATTCGTTCAGAGGTGTGTCAGGACATAGCTATGGGAAGGAAGATTGGGATAGAGAGAGCTTAGTTCCAGGAAAAAAAAAATCTGGATTGGTTAATCATGGAATCTAGCCACCAGAGATACATTTTGTTCTTTTCATGTGTACAGATTCTGTTTTTTCTCATACATTACCCATGCATGTCACACACATTTTTCCCTTTCCCCTGTCTCTTCTGTTCAGTGTTGTGTCCTATCTTTCTCGCTCAACACTCTTTCCCAAACCCAGGTTCAAATTTTCTGTCACACCCACACACACTTTTCCTCCTGTCATTAACTAACGCTCACTCACTCTCTGCTACTCCTGTCTTTCCTAAATGCACTCTCCCTTATTTGTTTCCCGTGTCTGCAGAGGTTCTGACAACTAGAGTGCAAGATTTTTTACGGCTTGTGTGTGTTGTAGAGGGTGATTCGATGGAAGAGTGTGCTGAGGAAATGTACCCCCCTTTTTTTTGCACTATTGCAGCGATACTAAATTTCATGGGAACTTTGTAAAGCTTGTTTTCGCAACTTTTCTAGGCATACGGGTTCAGTTCACGTGGGAGGGATCGTCTTTGTTCCATATAAATACCCTAGGGGCAACGCTTTATAGACCATCAATCTAGCATCACCCATGTAAATCTTCTGACACCCCTCACTGGGATGCTCTGGGACTCAACAATGGCAAAGACTGTTGCCAATATACACGCACATGGGAACTTGAATCAGAGAGTTTCCGCCTATGTTGGGAACCCTAACCTAACCACTACGCTAGGTAAAAATGGCATTTTCCGCTGGGGTTGAGTGCGCCCACGACCATTGTGTATGCTCTGTGTGTTGTGTGTTTGCCCCGTCCTCGCTTGGGCGGAGCCGACTTCGTGGTCGGGTGTGAGGGGAGCAGCCGACCTGCAGCAGTGGGCGAGCTGGTTGACGAGGAGGTCGACCTGCACGGGGGCCACTGCACGGGCGCCGATTTCAGGGAGGTCGACTTGGGAAGTCGACCTATGGAGGGCGTCAACTTGGTGACGCCAACTTGGGGGCAGCCGACTTGGTGTTCGGCTGAC